ACCTTCCGCAAGGTAACGACAATATACCAATCAAATACGTAAGGAGAAACATCATGCACCACATCTGTAATACCATTAAAATTCCTCGATTCCCAATTATAACAAGCGTTGCTCGTCGCATAAGATTGAATAGAAAAGAGACAAAGGCATAGGTCTCAAAGGAATCAAATCGCACGATGAGGAATCAAGAATGGAAGTGCTCCTAACAGCCATGTACCCTCTCGAAGATAAGTAAAGACATCTCCGTACCGATCCTCAAGACTATACTAGACTTGCTCATGACTCGTGAGACTTAAGTGAACCTAGTGCTCTGATACCATGTTATCACGACCCAAAATCCATTCAAGGTAGTGATGGAGCCGGACACTGCTGTCAGGCAAGCCAACACTAAATACTTAATTTATGTCTCATTTTAATATTTTTGAAATGGTAGTTTTCCTTCAATTAAATAGTAGAATATGAAAATTACAGAGTAAATAATAATATTTTTAACAATCTTAACACTGAATAACCCATAATTACCCCAGAACCCGGTGTCACAAGTGCATGAGCGTCAACTAGGAAATAAAATAAAATACAACATCTGTCCGGAATACAAGTTTAGACAGGAAAGAAAATACAAATACTCTGAAGGAGACTCTACTGGTTGCGGGTCGTAATATGGAATGCAGCTCGCCTAAGTCCCCACATTAACTACGTCGTTGTGCCCACAAGGCCTCTAAATATATATATGCCTTCACAACAAAATGTGCAGCAAGTGTAGTATGAGTACATAAACAACATGTACTCAGTAGGTATCCAATCTAACCTCGAAGAAGTAGTGACGAGGGGTCGACTCCAACACTTACTATGAGCTATAAATAAAATGCCAATGATATAATTTAAATATGGATTCACTACAAAGAAAATGTGCCTATAGCAACGCATGGAAGGCCGTTGCAACAGATAGGTAAATTGTTGCCGTAGAGCTATTGCAACTGTTTAGCACCAATTCCACTAGCCTGCGTGACAATAGAGCTTAAGGAATGATACTTGCAATGGTTCATATAACTGTTGCTATAGTGTTGTCTATTGCAATAGTTTTCCCTCTCCCTATTGGAACGATTATTCTTATCAACCGCAACGGTGGAAATCCGTTACCATAATGTTAATGAAACGGTTAATAACCATTACCATATCGGTTAATGCAACGGTTAAGTAACCTATTGTTACGACTATTTACGGATATGCAAACGATTTCTTTATGCTATTGCAACTGTTTGAACTACCTATCGCAATAGTTTATATATTATTTTGGAATGCTTTGTAGGTTCTATTGCAACGGTTTACATTTTCTATTGGAACACCATATTGAGCTTACACCATATGTAAGCTCAATATTTTGAAGTAGGAAACAATTCTTTTATAATTAAGAAATCTCCAAATTTATTCCTCATGCCAATGAGACAATATCTTTTATTATAAATTTCAAAGCAATCAATTCAAATATGCGCAAATCATGTCGAGGTCGTATGGCCCGATCCAACATATAAATATAAATTGTGCATTGCCGACGGTCGAACAGCACGAACCATAGATGTATCTTTTAATCTGCTGAAGCGTTCGGCCCGCTCCACAAAATAAAAACACATTCAAACAACCAAATCAAGAATTTATTAAGGAGCAATTATTCAAGGAAATGCCAAATTCTCATTTAACGGTCAAGAAAATGAAGTTTAACCCCTTTTTTGTAAATATTCCTTCATCAAGTTTGATATTTAAGCAATTTAGATTAACAGTAAGGTTGCAAACATCGCAAAGCCCTTCCAACAACTCAAGGAGACTTACCTTGCTCCGAAATTCCATAACCGGCTCCCAAGCTCTTCTAACAACTCAAACCGATGCCCAACACTTGAAACTAGTCAATAAAGGTGCAAACTTATAAATATATACTCCAATACACTTTAAAATCAAATTTATAACAATTCCCAACTCCGCTCGAAAAGTTAATAAAAATCACCCTCAGGCCCACGTGCCCAGATTCCAAAAACATTTGAAGATAAACTTTACCCATAACCCCACAAACTCAAATATATAATTTATTTCTAATTTCATGCCCAAATTCGTGGTAAAAATCCAAAAATATCAATATTTCTAGTTTTTTCTTCCAAATCCCAAATTTCAACAAATTTTCATGTTTAAATCCATATATAAACCTTGTATTTAACTCACAACTAGAAGAAATCACTTACCTCTTTATGATGATGGAACCCCATCTCAAATGCTCTAAAAAATCGCCTAAGTCCAAGTGGAAAATGAGGGAAATAAGCTAAGTCTCGAAATAAAAAGCTCTTGGATCCAGACGCAAATGTCGCATTGGCTCGCAAATGCGATGGTCGCATTTGCGACAAATGCGTCGCAAATGCGAATTCAAGATGCCCCTGCCATGATCGCACTTGCGACTAAAATCTTTGCAAATGCGAAGGGAACATCATCGCAAAAGCGATCAATTCTTCGCAAATATGATCCTTCCCTCAGCAACCCAGGTTCGCTAATGCGAAGAATACCTAGCTAATGCGATGGTCACATTTGCTACCAAAACATCGCAATTGTGATCACATCAGAACTAGCAAATCCCACTTCTTAACAAAACACTCTGAAGCTACTCCGATACTCACCCAAGCCCTCGGGGCTCCAAACCAAACACCCATAAAAGTCTAAAAATATAACAAGAACTTTCTCGAGGCCTCAAATCATATCAAACAACGCCGAATTCATGAATCACACCCGCATTCAATCTTAATGAACTTTAGAACTTCAAACTTCCACATTCGATGCTGAAACCTATCAAATCACGTTCGATTGACCTTAAATTTTTCACACAAGTTACATTCGACATTAAGGACCTAATACAACTTCCGGAATTAGAATCCGACACTAATATCAAAAAGTCCACTTCCGGTCAAACTTATCAAAAACCTTCAAATTTCTAACTTTTGCCAAATGACCTCAGAATGACCTACAGACCTACGAATCCACTTTCGGACGCGTTCCCAATACCAGAATCCTCATACTGAGCTATTATCATACTCGGAATCCCAAACGGACATCGATAATATTAAAATGCACTTCAATACAAATTTATGAAATTCTTCCAATAGGCACCACAATGCTCCCGGGTCATCCAAGACCCGATCCGAACATACACCCAAGTCTGAAATCATCATACTAACATGCTGGAACCTTCAAATCCCAATCCCAAGGTCGTTTACTCAAAAATCCAACCTTAGTCATTTCTTCCAACTTAAAGCTTTCGAAATGAGAATTTTCTTTCCAAATCAACTTCGAACTTGCTGAAGTTCAATTCTAATCACGTGTACAAGTGATGATACCTGAAGTGAAGTTGTTCATGGCCTCAAACGGGCAAACGACGTGCTAAGGCTCAAAACGACCGATCGGGTCGTTACATGCCCGTGCTATGCACTGGCCTATGTCTGGCATTGTTTATACCACTAAAAGATATACTATGTATTGTCCTTGAAAAGGAATATTGCCAGACAGAGCAACATAATCACAGCAAAGGTTCAACACCAAGAAAGCATGTCCTTGGCAAACAAGAGAGTTGGAAACATAAAAATAGACTAACTTTTCCAAAAATTTAAAGTCAAGCATCACAAAACAACCTTACATCAAAATACTCTAAATCTTTATTATCATGAGTTATGGGAGGACGGATAAAAAGCCATGTGCTTTGAAATACTGTCTGAGCCTCTTAGCATGGTGCATCGATTCTTGATATCAAGGCTAGCCTCTCCAAACAAGTAAATTCTTCAGTCAGCCACTCCATAAGTTTCACATTTTCCTCTTTCAAATTTTAATGGCATAATTGAACTTTGGAATAAAATCAATTGTGAGAATTGATGCATTGAAATCAAAGTAAGTTCTTGAAAAGAGTTTATAGAATCCGCTTCAAGGTAAGTATCGTCTAGTAATGTTTCCCTCACATGGATACTTTTCTAGCACTAGATTTAGCATTTAGTTAATTCCAAGAGGAGGCTTACCCTTTAACTTCTTCGTTGATTAGTCCGTACATATCGTTCAACTGTATAAATTTTAATTGTCAGTTTACCTTATTTTTGTTAACACATGCTCTTCTCTTGAATGCGGAGGAGTAGAAGCGCAAACAATCTCCTTCCTCTTGATCCTGAAACTGAATAGACACTTCACAGAGTGAGGAGGGAGGTTGAAGCTAGAACTAGAATAGAAATAGAGGTGGACATCGTAGTTCAAGCATAACTAATAGAGATGGAAGGTAATGTAGAGCATGCGGTGATAGAAGCCGCAAGGCCCAATCTTGCTAATATGACTCAGGCTATTATGAAGCCTGAGATCATAGGGCATTTTGAACTCAAGTAGTACATTGTACAGCTAATTCAGTCCACAGGGCAATATATGGGTCTATCTCAGGAAGATCCGCAGAGGCACATTCAGAATTTCTTGGAAATTACGGATACCTACAATTATCCGAACGTTTCCAAGGACTATGTTAGGCTGACACTTTTTCCCTTCTCACTGTTGGGGGAAGATAAGGAATGGTTGCAGAAAGAGCCCACGAACTCAATCCACACTTGGAATGATCTAGCAAGGAAATTCTTAATCAAGTTTTTCCCCACCAAGCAGACAAAGTCATTGAGGAGTCAGATTTGTGGGTTCGAACAACGGGATGGCGAGACACTTTGTAAAGCCTTTGAAAGATATAAGAAGCTACTCAGAGATTTCCTGCACCATTGTCAGACTGATGAGGTATTGGGACACACTTTTGTTGTCGGGCTAGATAAGGCTTCGAAGATGAATCTTGATCAGCTTGTGGGGGTAGTTGCATGGAGAAACCATATAGTGAAATTCAACTCTTGCTGAATAACTTCACTGCTAATGATCATAGTTGGCAAAGAGAGGGGGATTCACGCAAGGCAAGTTAACAAAAGGCAGTCGGGTTGATTGAGCTTGATGACGTCTCGGCCATGAGAGCTGAGATAGCAAAATTGGCAAACCAAATGAATAGAATGACAATGCAACAGACTCAACAGATGCAACATGTACAACAGATGTCTCTTTGCTGCGAACTATGTGGTGACAACCATATGAGTGACATGTGCCCTACAAATCCAGAATCTATATACTATGTGGGACAACAGAGCAGGGGTCCAATGAATCAGAATGCACAATATGGGAACACTTATAACCCAAATTGGAAGAATCATCCCAACTTCTCATGGGGTGGAAATCAGCCGAATCAGAATCATTATAAACCCCAAGGAAATTTCAATCAACCTCAGAAGCCACCTCAACAGGTAGAAGAGAATGGGAATGATTTGCTGAAGCAGTTGTTGCTTTACAATCAACAGCTCAGGATCAATTTCAGAAATTTGGAGCGCCAAATGGGACAACTTGCCAGTGCTCAAAACACTAGACCAATTGGAGCTCTCCCGAGTGATACTGAGCCTAATCCTAAGGCTCAAGTCAATGCGGTTACCTTGAGAAATGGAAGAGAATTAAAAGAAGTTCCAGAGAAAAAGAAGTATACATCTAGACCTGAAGGAGAATTACTTCCTAAGCCCGTTGAGGAGAATAAGAATGAAAACCCAGAAATTGTGACAAGGCCACCACCTCCGTTTCCACAAAGACTTCAAAAGCAAAAAGATGATGCTATGTACAAGAAATTCTTAGATATTTTGAGCCAAGTGCGTGTGAATTTGCCTTTGGTGGAAATTTTGCAAAAAGTGCCTAAGTATGCAAAGTATCTCAGAGATATTGTGGCAAATAAGTGAAGACATACAGAGTTTGAAACAGTTGCACTTACTGAAGAGTGCAATGCTAGAGTTCACAGTAAACGTCCTCCTAAGTTGAAGGATCCTGGGTGTTTTACAATTCCTCTATCTATCGGAAAAGAAGAAGTTGGTAGAGCCCTGTGTGATTTAAGAACTTGTATAAATTTGATGCCATCCTCTTTGTTCAAGCAACTCGGATTAGGGGTGCTTAGACCTACTACAATCACTTTACAGTTAGCAGATAGTCACTAGTCATGCCAGAAGGAATTATTGAGGATGTGTTAGTTTGAGTGGGGAAGTTTATTCTTCCTGCTGATTTTATTGTTCTTGATTACGAGGCAGATGAGGAAGTACCCATTATTTTGGGGTGACCATTCTTAGCTACTGGTGGAGCGATTATTGATGTGAGGGAAGGAAAGTTAAAGATGAGAGTTGATGATGAGGAAATAACTTTTAATGTGTACAAGGCACTTAAGCTCCCTAAGCATTATGAGGACTTGTGCATGATTACTGTGGTAGAATCGAAGGGGATATAGCAGAGTCCTTATGTGAATTATAGTGATCCATATAGGACAACTGAATTAGAGGAGGTAGTGTTGCAAGCTGAGTGTGTAAAGACAATTGCGAAAAGAGCCAGAGATGAAAGAGGAGATCTTCCGAGAGTGTGCAAAAAGGATAGACTTCATCGGAGAAAGAAGAAGAGAAAGCGCCCAGCCTGAGCAGAGTAGCAGAGTCGTGCCACGACTATAAATAAGGCACTTGTTAATTTTAATTTTTTATTTTTTATATAGTGTCAAGTTTCGTGTTGTTTTTATTTTGCAGAGTAGGTGAAGTCTGAGTACCCAAAGTTGAAGATGACGAGAATGTTGAGCTTAAGTGTGGGGTCGTCCCGACCCTTACTATTGAGGATCATGTCTGAGCTAGGCCTGAGAGGGCCTCAGGGAGTATTTCTCACTCTTGCTTTAATATCTTTATCTGTGATCATGCATCGATGACCATGCATAATATAATTGTGGGGTGGGAAACTACTTTCTGAAGTGTAAATTGTATAAAACTATTTTTTAAATTTAGTTTTTCTTTTAGAACACGTAGTAGACATAGTCTAGGTTTAAAAAAATAAAAATAAAATAACGAAAATTGAAAAAAGTAATTTAGAAAATGTTCAGACTTTTCCCGACGATGGATCTTTTGGATAATTTTCTTGAGGGATAAAGTCCGATTAAAAACACCAAAAAGATTTTTTTTTAGGATAATTAGGTAGTATCCCTTGATTTTTCTTTGGGCGCTGGTTCTTTTCCAAGGATGTAGCTTGAACCGGGTACTTTATTTTTTTTTTGTAGTTTAGGAAGAAACTGAGGCGATCTAAGATATTCATTGACATGGTTGATGATGGCACATTAGGCTAGGACATACATTCTGTTTTCCCATGTATTTGGTTTTGAATTGTGAAGCCTAAGTAAAGTAAATAACCTATTTTGTGACGACTTTTTTTCAGTTGTTTGGCTTGTATGCCACATAGTGCAATATTGCTTAAATTTCTCAATTATGTGTGCTTGCTCGACTTGAGAGTTAAACAGAACCGTCTTAATTGAGTCATGTGCAACGTGTGTGTGAGGATTTATGATCTTCTGTGCTGTCCAGTGAAGTCTAGAACTTGCCCGCATGTGAATTGAAGCGAAATTTTAAGTTGTGCTAATCTAGGAAATGACGTAGGCATTTTCTTGCTTGATCATGAATGTGCTTGTCATATAAAAATAAAATTTTCCGTTGCTAGCCCCTTTGAGCCTACAGACCTTTTATTTGGCAACCACATTACAAGTCATACCCCTATTTTGTTCTTAGTTTGAGATTGATTGAAACTTTACCTCCTAAGGCACTTAGTCGCTAGAAGAAGTAAGGTGAGATATTGGGGAGTATTTTTCGAGTGGAACCATGGAAGGGCCCGTTGGTGCACTAAGGTTGAAATTAAAAGTCACTAGCCAATGAACTTTAATGTATGGAGTGTGTAAAGAAAAGAAAAAAAAAAGAGAAAAGAAAAGAAAAATTGCAAGAAAAGAAAAAAAAATGATAGTTAAAGTATGTAAAAAAGTACGCACCTCCAATTCTTAATGATTTGTGCTAGTGGAATTATAGAAGCGCTTAATTGAAAAGAGGGCTATGTTGTATATGGCAAGTGAATTGGTTGAGAAGAGTATGTACTTGACTTGTGAATGTAGTGTATTAAAATTCTTAGGACGGTTAGTCACTATTTCTAAATGTATCATACCCGTCCCTTAGCCTACATTACAACCTTAAAGTCCTAATTGATCCTAGATTTGGCTAGCTTAAATTAGTAGAGATATACACTACGGGCAAGCTTATGGTATGACCACGTGATGCATATGAATTCTTTGTGAGAGTGAGCGAATGTTTTTCAATTGTATGATGTCCTTAATCTATATTCAAAAGCATATTTGAATGTTTGGACTAATCTATATTCACTCTTTGTTTGTTGGTGAGGGCACATGATCTCATGAATGATTGGTAATGTTTTAAACTTTCTTGTTGGGTAAGTACATGAATTGAGGGTGCTTAGTGGTTGCAAGTCGGCTTTTGAGGTTGGGTGGTGACAAATAGGTTGTTAGAATTGATTGAATTGAAATATTATACTTGGGCATGCTTAAACGGAAAGAATGTGAAATTTTGTGTGTTCATGCTTGTGTGCCGGTATTGATCACAGTCAAGGGTATAGTGTGTGGTTAAAAGTTAAGGTTCTACTCTATAATTGAGACTTTGTACGTGTTGGAGGGTAGTAGATTGTCCCATTGCTCGAGGACGAGCAAGAGTCTAAGTGTGGGGTGTTGATGTTTAGCTTAAAGCATATATGTTTCTATGTATATCGCCTCATATTTTACTTTTGTTTCGTGAATTTGGGATGTCAAATGCTATGATTTATATTAATTTGAAGTTTTTTTATGTGTAGGAATGATTCGGGAGAAATTGGGGGCGAAACGCGCAAGATTTGACCCAAAACAAACGAAACCAAGAAACTTGCGAATTTGGGCGCCACAGGTGGCTCCCAGCCCTACCTGTGACGCCAAAAACTGTAGCTAAAAATATTGGAGCGCCATGGAAACTTGTTGCTCCTAAACGCACACGCAAGTATACGTGGTTGACAAGTAATATAGGATTGTAAGTCCAGATATCGTACCCACAGGGACCTGTGATTAACTATCAACTAAATTAAACCAAACAATTAATCTATTTAAGCGAATCCTAACGTATGTATATTTAACTAAAATTAATCTAGAGTAATAAATTAAGAGATTTAAGAAAACAAGTTGGCAAATTATAGAGACGAATTCAATGTGAGTTAATATTCTAGAGCTATGGGTTAGCTAACAATCCCGTTGAGTTTTACACTTAAATCGTCTAATTAATTTATCTGGTTTATTGGTTGACAGGGTTAATATTGCTCGTAGCCTTCTCCCAAAGTACAACTCGCTTATTCAAGCTAATATAACGCCTATATTCCTATGGAATTAGAATTAATAAGAACACATTAATAATTCTTGTATAGTAACCGAGCAAGGCGATTAGTTATATTCCTATCCTAACCGTAAATCCGCTCTCCCTAAGAGTTAAGATCTTGCTCTACTCAATCTTATATGCAATCTAAAATTCCCTCTCCCGAGTTCAATCCTAGATTCGTAGATAGTATTCAATTGGTGATCAAGAAATCAAATAATTAAGCGCAAGATTGAATAAATAAACCAATATGATAAAATAATAAGAACAATTCAAGCTTCAAACCACAACGTTCATGTAGCATCCAAAACTCTAGAACTAATGAACTATGAAATTAAAGGAAGAGAAGAGAAGAAAAACTAGTTAGAAGCCTCCTCCAAGCGTGGTGTGTGTTCTTCCACGTGAATTCCCCTCCAAAATATATTGGATATCTCCAAAGTGGCGTCTTCTCCTCAAAAATATGTTTAGTCTTACTTTTATACGTGTTGGGTAGGTCTAGGGCCGAAATAACCTTGTCCCGGGTAAAATTGGACAAATTGCACGTCACTGGCACCCTGGCTAGCGCCAGGCGCCCTCCACGGAGCTATAAAAATTTTGCTACTGTTTTTGGCGCCACAGGTAGGGCTGGGCGCCACCTGTGGAGCTGAAATGTCCAACTTTCCTATTTTTGTCCGTTTTGGATCTAATTTCGCACATATCGCCCCCGATTGCTCCTGGATCATTCCTACACATAAAAACACAACAAATTAATATAAATCAACGCATTTTACATCCTAAATCCACGAAACAAAAGTAAAATATGAGGCGATATACATACAAATATATATACTTTAAGCGAAACATCAACACCCCATACTTAGAATCTTGCTCGTCCTCGAGCAATGGGACTATCAAATAAACCCCCAACCACGTACAAGTCTCAATTATAGAGGAGCATTTTAACTTTTAACTACACACTATACCCTTGACTATGATCAATACCAACACACGAGCATGAACATACAAAGTTTCACATTCTTCCCGTTTAAGCATGCCTAAGTATAATATTTCAATTCAATAAACTCCAATAATCTATTCGTCACCACCCAACTTCAAAAGCCGACTTGTAACCACTAAGCACTCTCAACTCACGCACTCACCCAACAAGAAAGTTTACAACATTACCAATCATTCATGAGATCATGTTCCCTCACCAACAAACAAAAGAGTGAATATAGATTAGTCCCCACATTCAAATATGCTTTTGAATATAGATTAAGGTCATCACACAATTGAACAAAATTCGCTCACTTTCACAAAGAATTCATATGCATCCCGTTGTCGTACCATAAGCTTGCCCATATGGTATATCTCTACTAATTTAAGCTAGCCAAATCTAGGATCAATTAAGACTTTAAGGTTGTAATGTAGGCTAAGGGACGAGTATGATATATTTAGAAATAGTGACTAACCCTCCTAAGCACTGTAATACACTACATTCACAAGTCAAATAC